AGTGCGTTCTCGTCAAGTTCGCTCGCCAGGTCTATAAAGACGAGCATATCGTATGAGCAAGTCAGTGCCACCGCGACCGTGTTTCTGAGACTAGACGAGTGATTGCAGCAGTACAAGAACAATGACACGTAATCGAACAATGTCGGAGCTAATCGGAGTACGAATTTAATGGCGCGCAAACGACACAACTTTTGAACGCGGTATCATCCATATTAAGTATCAATCACATTTACATAGAGCGATAGAAGAGTCAGAGTATAATACAGATGCGGATAAATAGACGTTTAGAAAGCATTAGGTGATCAAAGGTGATCCTCAACATCTGACCAGCCGTCCGACTCATCACTCGGGTGGTCATTGACGTCACCGGCGGGAGGCACCTCGACATGCTCAATAACAACCGCAGAGTCATCGCCGTCAGCCTCGGAAGACGATGACGAAGGGACGGAAACATCTGAATTGATGGGCGAGGAGAAAAGGACGTCGCCGTCACCGGCCGCTGTGGCGTCGGGTGTCGATGTGACAGGCAATGGGGAAGCCGGTAGGCTAGCTTGAGCCTCGGACGCAGGGACAGAGTCGACAAGTGGTTGCAGTTCTGCTGTTGACGAAGAATTCGAATTCGAGGCGGGCATCTGAGAATCAGCAGCAGAATCTTTGTGGGAATGTATCGGCTCAGACGAGTTCTCGGGTGAAACGGCGGCGACTTCGTCAGGCGGGCTGCCTTGAGATGTAATCGACTCGGGTTGAGGACGGGTCGACGTTGAGGCTTCGGACGGCGCCGGCGACTCCTCCGGGCTCTCCAGCGAGGGTAGCTCTTCTGAAACGTCCTCGATCGGCGAAAGCTTGGGCGCGTCAGGCGGGACGGTATTAGCTAGCGCGGAGGTGCCTGCAGTGTCTTGGACTGAGTCTGGAATTGGCGTAGAGCTGGAGAGGGCGTCGAAGGGTGCTGATTCGTGGACGTCAACGGGAGCACCGTGCACCTCCATAGCAGGAACGTCTTCAGAAGCGGCTTCGTGTACGTTCTCGCTGGCTGACTGGTCGGGACTAGCCTCCGCCACCGCCTGTTCGCGAGTCTCGGGATCAGCGACAGTTACGTGTTCGTCGGTGGACGGCGCGGCTTGACCATCCACGGTAGCTTCTTCAGCTGGAGCAGGCTCGTCGGCCTTCGCGTCCGCATCCTCCTTCGGCACAGGCGACCCAGGCCGCTGCTTCTCCACCTCCCTCTCGACCCTCTCCAGCTCGCGCTCAACGACAACGACCGCATCCTTCCTGGCTTTCCTTACAGCATCGTCTCCATCGCTCTCCACCGCATCGAGCCTGACAAGGAGCAGTCCGAGCGCGTGCGTATACTGGTGCAGAGGTCGGTTGTTCGCCGTGTACGCGAGGGTTTCCTCGTTCTCCGATTCAGCCGAATGGTCCAGAACGGGCGAAGGAGAGCGAGATGGAGTAGGCGAGGGGTTGAAGTCAAGGTGTTCCGGGAGATGAAAGTCGGACGAGAGCGAGTCGAACGAGGCGCGGATGTTGGCGATCTCGTCGAGGGAGGAGGTGCGCTGGTGACGGTGCGCACGGACTTGTTCGGCCGACGCGCCCGCGAGGGCGGGTTTGCGTTCTAGAGACGGTGCTCCCGGCGCCGAAGGGCTCGGGTCGAGCGCAGCAGTGGCAGGCTCTCCTTGATGGAGAGTGGCGGGCTCAGCGGAAGAGTTTGACGGGCCAGCCTGCTAAAGAAAGCAAACGCGGGTGAGTCATCGGAGAACCGAGCCAGGTGAAAATAAATGGTGCATACCTGCTCGTTCACGTTGAACCGGACATTCTTTCGCTCCTTAGGTGCCTGAGCCTGAGCCGAACCGTTGAAGAAAGATTGGAGGAGCGACGTGAGGGTCCCCTGAACTTCTTGATCGTTCTCGACTTGAGCACGTTGGCGGAGCAGGTGTTCGACCGTCACTTGAGGTGCGGAGTCGGAAGAACACGCGGGCATCGGCTCTTCCTTTGCCTTGCCCTTGCCCTTGACATCGACAGTGGTGCTAGGAACTTGGGCGGCGGGCGTCGCACGCGGAGCGGAGGCGGGCTGGAGGAGAGCACGGATAAGGATCGCCATTCCGCCCGGCCTGATCGCGAGCAAGCTCACCTGTTTCTCCTGCTCAGACTCCGAGCCCTGCTCTGAGGGGGTGAAGAACGTCTCCAGGAGCTTCGAAAGTTCGGCTTGCTGCTGCCTGCGTCTAGCCTGTTCTAAGCGCGCAAGCTCCTCCTGACGGCGGCGCTGCTCGACCTCGGCTAGAACCTGCTGTCTCAGCCAGGCAACCTGCTGGAGGTGCTGTCGCTGCCGTCGTTGCCGAAGCGCAAGGAGCTCCTGCTGGCGACGCGCGGCCTCCTCCTGCTGCCTTCGTATTCGCGCTCGACGTCGCTCTTCTGCGAGATCAGCAGCGAAGACGGCAAGGATTTCTTGTCGCTGCTGCTGCTGGCGTTGACGATAGTAGGCCTGCGCTTGTTGACGTTCGAAGGCTTCACGACGGGCACGGGCGAGCAAGTAGTCGTGCTCCGCGAGTGCCGTCTGGTGAGCATAGTCGTAAGCGGCGTAACTCGATGTTGGTACTCGGTGCAGGTGGCTATAGCCGTGGTCGTAGTCGTCTAGCTCCGAAGTCCTGAAGAGTACGTGCTGGTGATGGACTGGTGTAGACGGCACGAACGCGAGCATGATAGGCAGATTGTGGGGTTAGATGTAGATGATCAGTGGTGATTATCTCGGCGGGATGAGACGAAGGTCGGTGAGCCCCGCCATGATAATCTTTATAGTATATCGCGAGCGGGCTGCGTAAGCCATGAGTCGACCAGGAGGCTGACGCGGCGGGATGTGAGCGCTTTCGAGAACAAACAGGATCGACGAGCTGAAGAACGCGGGAGAAGCATCGAGAAAGCTCGATGCGCGTACGTAATCAGTTCCTGGTGACTCAGTTGCCTTCATCCTCATACGCGAATGTAAAGCTGAATTAGCTTATCGAACCGTACCGATACACTGCAAAATCGTTCGGGTTCGAGCGACAACGATATGTTGATCTACTCGACCGCCAATATGAAGGGAGGAGAACTCAGACGACAATCGATAATCTCCAGAGTCGACGATCTTCACGAACTGTTAAGGAGTTAACAGGGTATCACTAGCCGAAAGCCAGAGTACCAACGCTCTTTGCCCGCGTATTGTTTGGTCTCCTTCCCGTTCACCCCGGAAGTGCATACCCGCGCATGCTCCGTCGACGACTCGGATTGGTGATGGGCAGGGGTATCAACACTTCGCCCTGCACCGGTGTGCTTGCTGCAGGCTGGAACTGGCTCCAAATGGACTGTTGTAATTCCTTTATTTCGGCTTCGGTATGCTCAAGTTCGTTTGTCAGCTGGAAGAAAGCAACGATTGCTTCGTTGAGTGTACGTGGTCGGTTGATTTCGACTTCGAAAGTGTGCATGCGGTTCTGGAGGCTAATTCATTTAGATAATAAAATCAATGGGACAAGTATATGTTCTAGAATATCAAGTCACACCTTTCGAGCTTTGTACGTGCTTCGTGCATGAATATAATGCGGTAGGGACTTTGCAGTGGTGACCATAGATTGTCCAGGGTATGATAATCGTACTGGGCAGCTTTGAATCGCCTCTGTATATTTCTATAGCGAGTAGAGAGCCGAAGCCTTCCCACAATACAGGTAATGATATATGCAGCAACAGCAGCGCCAAAAGAAATGATTCCGGTAGTGTTCGCAGCTAGATCCAGACTCATCGTAAAAGCCAGGAGGTTGAGCCGCGTAAAGTTGCCCGATGGTGAGCCAGCGCAGTCGAGCCGTAACACGTAGCCTCAAAGATACTGGGGCAGGTTCTTTATATGTAGTTGAGGCCGTAAGGGCGACGAGCTCCGTGCGAGCCGTCGCCCTTCGGTCCCCCCGCCCACGCGAGCAAACTCTTCAAGGTCAAAGCAGTAATGACTTTCGAAACGCTCGTCCAAACTTAGATTGGATCTGGCACTGCGTAGGGGCGGTCTCGGGGGCTGAACGTATTTATGCTGCTCATATACGGAGGCACATAAATGCAACTGTCCCTCCCCAATCAGCTCCTTCACGAGTAGGCCTCCCCAATTGCAACTTTTGCGCCCGAGCTGGACAGGCCAGACAAACCGAGGGGAGGCACGTCGAGACTTGCGATCGGTAAAATGCTATTCTCCCTGGCGTCCCGACGGGAAAAGTCTTATCATAGGTAGCATGTAACATATTTCTCGTTTCCGTGTTAAGTCAATCATCCCTGCAAGATGTTGACATCAGGCACCTTGGGCCAATAACTGTCATTGACAGCGCGCGCAGCCGAACGAGACGACGAACGATGGTAGGTAAGTAGGGCGCGCGCTCGGAGCTTCTTTCTCCCTCAACAGCCAGGCGTTAGTGAATCCTGAGGTCTGTTCACATCTATTCTGAGCCACAGGTAGGTAGGTAGGTAGGTATATTTCCGGCGCGGTCCCAATAGCGGAACAGTTTGTAGCTTGTAGCGATGTTACCCGGCGACCTATTGTGAACAGCTCGAAGTTCTTAGTCTTTCGTTTCGAAATGCAAGATTGAACGCAATATGAATCTATTGATTCAGCTCAAGCCGACCGGCCTTATGGCTGTGAAGCCGTCTGCCGCACGGGAACCTGACGGAAACCAACATTTTGGAAGAATAGCCATCAGCGGAACCTCTTTGGCACGCCGATCGCCCAATACGACATCATCCTATCATCCTGGACGGAATGATGCAGAGCGGCGACGATTCTGGCGTTCTCGGACGTGTCTGATTGCGCATCAAGATAAGGTGATTTGTCGAATGTGCGCTCTTTGCAAAGGAACCCGTACTTAGGACCCCACCTCAAGGAATATGTACAACTGGAAGAATTGTCAGCGAATGTCTCCATTACCAAGTCAGTCGACGATGTAACATATTTCAGTTATAACAATCAAGTCATTGTTGGAACTATCATAGGTTTTAACTCGTACCAAAAAATTTCACGGACAGAGAGGATTTTCGATTCAAATCTCAGTGTTGGCAATTGCTCATATGAAGAAAAGACAAGACGGCTATCAGCGATCGCCATTCTGAAGATGGAGGTGAAAACAGGTCTTCAATCATGTAACTGAGTCAGTCGGAGCTTTCGTTCTCCGCTTCTTGCCCAACTTCCCTTCGTGTACACCAGAATCCACTCGAGTTCGCTTCCCATCCGATGGCTTGGCCTTAGAGGAAGAAACGCCCTTAGTCGGTGTATCGATGCCCGATGGCTTCAGGAACATAGCTGACGTGGACGCCTTCGCCGTCACGGGTCTGAGCGGGGCCGAGGGCTCACTTGCGTCTGCGGGATCAGATGTCGTCCGCGGCCCGGCAGTCCTCCCCGATCGTAGGTCGGTGCCCACGTCGCCCTCTTCGTAAATCATCAGACGAGCGCTCTTCCCCTTCTTCACGCCGGGACCTGGCGCGACGTCCTTTGCCTTTTCTTTCCGAGGTTTCAGAACGGAGGCTCCGGAACCAGACAGAGTGGCTGGGCGAAGCGAGCTTTTGGACCAGTCGCGGGCTTGCTCTGCAGCTTCAGCCTGTGCCTGCTCTGCGGCTGCTCGATCCTCCTATAGCGCTCTTCATAAAGAGGGCAAATGACGACCGTACGTGGCGGACGAACCTCTTCTTGAGTGACTTCACGGCCCTTCTTGAACGTCCGTCTCCCTCGGACCTTCACGGTGGACGTGGACGCGATACTTGGCGCGCCTTGCGAGCTCTCAGCCTCTGATGTTGAATACATAAACGGTATGTATGACGCCTCGTAGGATACGGATTGCCTGTACAGTTACGACCAAACGAGACTGATCAGAGAGAAAGACGGGCATCTCAGGACGCTGGTCCTCCTTATAGCACATCATCAACACGCACCTCTCCTGAGTCGGAGGTTTAGAGAGCGCCCACGCCTCCCGTACCTCGGACGAAACCTCCCATTCGGCCTCGTCCTTGACTTTCGCCTGCGCTGCCTCGATCTCCGCCTGTTGCTTCGCGCGTTGCGCGTTCTGCATGAAGCGTAGGCTCATCGTCCCATTGCTGAGCGTTTTCCCCGACATTTCGAGATAGGAACCTGGACTAGCGTGTACAATTCTAGCTGATCGCGATCAACGACGAAAAGAGCTCAGAGTTGCAGAAAGCTGCAGTGCAGCAGAGGCCGACGTGTTGGTTACGTAATAACAGCTACTTTCTCCTTCTCTCGGGCTTGGTGGGTTGGTGCGTTCTTGGAATACGTCCGTGTCCAGCGTTGGTCGTGGTCTCTACAGCAAGTTATAGCAATTCAAGGCCCATTTATTGAAATAACCCTGTAACGCGATCTGTCAGTCGTGCTTGCCGGACACCCGGATCATCGAGCTATACCGTGCTATACCTTCGTGGCTCTCGCCTCCTCCCTCACCATCACGGCTTTTTCTGTTGCAAATCGAACGCGCTCCGAATTAGAGAGCAGATTAGGGTGCTAAGCACCAAATCTTCCTCTGAGTTCTTCGGTTCGAATGTTCTTGTGAGGCGGGCGAGCTGCGGTCATGGTCGTCATAAATTCGACGGCGGTCTTAGCCTCATGCACCAGTTTCCGACTCCAACCGCCCGCGAGTTTTCAACTGCTCGAAATGCTGACTCGTCTCTTGAGCACGCTCACTCTCCTCGTCGGTTTCGGGGTTGCCGCCTCTCCGCCCTCGGTACCTACCGTGACCGTCAAGAATGGCACGTACACTGGGCTTTCTCTGCCTTCTTTCAGGCAGGAGTTGTTCCTCGGCATGCCGTACGCACAGCAGCCAGTGCCGCCTGGGCTCCGTCTTCGCGCACCGCTCTCGCTGAACGCGTCTTGGACTGGCACGCGCGACGCGTCCGCTTACAGCCCGATCTGCGTCGGATACGACGTGCCTGGTGCGGAAGACGATGCGGGATTTGAGCTGAGCGAGGCGTGTCTGACCATCAACGTCGTCCGTCCTGAGGGTGTCGAGGAAGGTAGCGACGTCCCCGTCGTTGTCTGGGTGTAGTAAGCTGCAGGAGATATATTGTCTCTTCTTCTAAACTGACCTCTCATGTTTGTAGTGGAGGAGGCTTCGGTAACGGTGGAAGTGCCGACCATCGATACAACGGCACTTGGATTGTGCAGCGTAGCGTGGAGATGGGGCAGCCTATCGTGAGTGCGGGTTATCGTTTTTGAAGATTCATCGTGCTTACCGCACATGGTAGATAATCGTAAGTTTCAATTATCGTGCAACAGCTTTTGGGTTTTTGTGGTCCAAGGAGCTCGCCGCCGAGGGTGTCGGCAACCTTGGTCTACTCGACCAGGCGAGTTTCTAGTTGACCTCGTCAAAGGGAATAAGGGCTTATGGGTCTACTATATAGCATATCGCCCTCAGATGGGTCTACGAGAATATTCGAGCCTTCGGCGGCGACCCCTCCAAGGTCACCGTCATGGGCGAGAGGTTGGTCGTTTCCGCTTCATCGTCTCTTTCCTCGCTGACCGCCATACAACCCCCAGCGCCGGGTCTATTAGTGTCTCTCTCCAGCTGCTCGCCTATGGCGCGACTTCGACCGACCTCTTCCGCGCCGTCATTCTCGAATCTGGCACGCCCACCACGTGGAGCTATCGCACCCCGGAGGACTACCAGCCCCAGTTTGACGCGATCGTGAACGCGACGGGATGCGCCGGCGAGGCGGACGTTGTGGCGTGTCTCCGCGCGGTTCCTCTCGAGGCCTACATCGCGGCCACTAATGTGACGAATATGCCGCCCTGGGGCCCGACCGTTGACGGATCATTCATCACGGGTAGCGTGACTGCCGCCATCCAGAGTGGCAAGTTCATCAAGGTGCCGATGCTACTTGGAGGTCAGCCGACACATTCCCTTGTACCTATGTTGTATCTTCACCTCGTATGCAGCTAATCTGGACGAGGGTACGAGTTTCGGTCCCAGTGGACTCAACAGCGAATCGGATGTTGCCGTGGCCCTCGCAACGCGGTACAAGCACCTCACCAACGATAGCATCAGCACGATCCTCGGACACTACCCCAACGACCCCTCTATCGGCTGCCCGTACAACACCGGTGATGGCGTCCTCTCCACAGGACTGCAGGATAAGCGGGCACTCAGCATATGGGGCGACATCTACATGCATGCCGGGGTACGCCCTCCTCCCACCACTTGTACTTGTGCACGGGCACTCATGAGACACCTTATGCAGCGCCGTCTCCTGTCCGAGACCGTGTCGTCGACTGCGGACGTCTATTCTTACCACTTCGCGCAGGTGCCCGAGAATGGGACGATGGAGATCGGCGCGACGCACTTCGAAGAGGTCGCGTACGTCTTCAGCAACCCGCTCCCGACTCAGAACCCGCTCTCGACCCGACCGGGCGACGCGGAACTCGCCAAGTTCATGACAAGCTACTGGTGCGTCACCTTCCGCTCCTGCTCCACGAGCAGCCGGACTGAATCCATATTGCTTGTCAGGGTGTCGTTCATACACAAGTTGGATCCAAACCAGAATGGCGTCGACGGCGCTCCGGTATGGCCGAGCTACCGCGATGCGAAGAAGAACATGGTGTTTAAGCGCCAGGGAAGCTATGTCGAGGACGATAGTTACCGCGTCGAGGGGATCGCGTTGTAAGCCGACCTTGTCCTACAATCTTTCTTCCGCCAACTCTTGGTCACTTCCTTGTTCGCTAGCCTCAACACCCTCGAAGGCGAGATGCAGCATTAGAGGCGTGATCGTCGGGCATGGTCAAGCTTGGCGATGTCGTCTGGATCAGGGGTTCCAGTAGGTGTTGTTCGGTGCAAGATGGCGTATGTCAAGCAGACATCGTTCCTTTTCCACGTTCATTCATTACGATAGCAGATTATTCCGTGAGCAGACAATCAAGCGAATGCCAGTGAACCCATGCATATGTACGATGCTGGTGGATCAAGTGATACTCCCTACCTCCTGTATTCATATTACGGACCCAGTATTTGGTCCTCCTACGTACAGTTATACTGTACGCGCAATAAACCCGAAGATAGGGTTTGCAGTTCGTTGCTGTGACGTCAATCGCCGAGCGCCGTGGCGCGAATCCGTCGACGTGGACCGGCGCGAACGCAGCCCTACGCAGCCCCTTGACTTGCTATTTTACCCCCAACCAGGCCTACTACCTCTTGTTACTCCCGTTAACTTGGGAAGAAGGATATCAAGATGACTGTATAGTGCGTGCCTTTCTGATACTCCGGAGACACCGGAACTGATCTGGTCGTTCGTCTTTCCTGGTTGTCGCCTGCGCACCTTCGCGTTGAACGTGCATGCGTGTCTCGTGCGCTATGATGAACGTGTTATGGTCGCAGCTATACGATTGCCTTTCTACTGCTAGGTGCCGAGGTTCGTCCGGTCTTTGCACGAACTGAGCGTTCGGGTATCTCACGACTGAAGTAGATGGCCATGTTTTGTATCATGGTCGCTCCTCTGCCCTACGGGATCCGCAAGCGTCTGTTCCACTTCCTCGCGGAGTCCCCCCTCGTCGCCAAAGTCGCGTATGGAATAAAGATCGCCTTCATGTGAGTCGTCTGTTCGCCTTCTAACCCGTCCGCAGGCCGCAGGAACTGAATCTGCCTCGCAGATCTATCCTGGTGCTGTTTGTGGATGCGGTGCAGAGAATGTTTAGGATCACTGCGGAGGTGGGTCAAACCCGCAGGGATGCAACGTGATCGTGCTTATAGGCGGTTTCTGTCATAGGCCGAGGCCGCGAAGTCGAATAACAGCGCTGTCCTACAGAACGTCCAGACCGAAACCAACTTTGCCGCTCGCAAATTCTAGTAAGTCCATGTTATATGACGGTGATCGGCACGCAATCCTGACCTGGTCTCACAGCGCGCAACGGAACGTCTACCTAACCGGTTTCACGCTCTTCCTCTCGCTCGTCCTCACGCGCACGTTCTACATCATCCTCGACCTCATCCACGCGCAGGAGGAGTACGCCAAGCTCAAGAACGCCACCGCCTCCCAGAGCCGGGACAAGCTCGCCAACGGGGACCAGACGAAGCAGATCGAGGACCTGAAGGCCAAGTTGGCGCAGCAGGCGGCGGAGTACGACAAGCTCGCGACGGAGTATAACAAGGTCACAGGCGCGAAGAGCGACAAGCGCAAAGACTGAAAAGGAAAACGAGTACGTATGATCGAGAGCCGAGACGTGGTCGCGGTTATTGTTTGCCCGTTCCAGGGTCGACGTTGTACGTGAACCCCAGATCGGCGCGTTGTATATACCAACTCAGTTATGCGAACGAACGAACACGCAATTTCTTGTACAAAAAATTTCCCTTTTCCTTCGGGCCCTTTGTGCGTCATCTGGGCCCTGCACAGCGTCTTTCGGGATGCGTCGTCCCATCGATCGCGAGGAAAACGAACCCCGGAGCTGTGTTGTCTTCCCTCGCATTCACAGGCGTCGTGGGCAACCTGAGCCCGCATGGGGATTGATCCATCGATGCATATGCAATTCTGTGAGATAAATGCGAGTCGCAAATATACCGCTCTTGGTATCTTTACGTCCCGAGTGTACATGGGGCCCGTTCCTTACCTGATTCCCGACAAAACAACGGGGGATTAAAGGAATAGGCTTTGCAGGCAAACGGCCTCGGCCCTCTGGATTTTCGGGACCGGGTTTTCGGAAAATCCCCAAGGTTTCCCCACGGGCCACGTGCGAATGAGCTCTCCCCGTATGAGTCGCCCTCTCCGTCCCTCCGTCGCAGCCTGCCCATTATTCTCTACCCGACACCCTTGGCTGGGCGGAGACCATTGTCATCAACAACTCGGCGACGCCCTATATCTTCCTTCTCACCTCGACTTTACTCCCCCCATTCGACTCGCGACTCCTCGCGTTGATATGTCTTATTAGCCGCCTTGCCTTCAGACCCTGTACTACGACCTTATTGTCTTCACGACCTCACCACACACGACCCCTTTTTACCGACTGTCTCATTCCACCACACGACATCACGCGCTTTCGTATATAGAGTCGGCGCAAGAACCTATACGTACCAGGATTTGGAAAGAAGATGCCGCCCATCCCGACGGCGAACCAGCTCCGACGCGCGCCTTCACAGCCTGCGGTCGATACCGACGATGCGGACGATCCGCCTGCGCCGTCATCGCAGGCGCCGAGTATACCCGTTCCCGCCGCCCTCGAACCCGACGCGCTCGACCAGCCCTTGCTCCCCGCCGACGGCGACGGGGACGCAGACGCGCCATCGGCGTCTCCCGCGACCCCGAAGATGGCGGACGGTCTGCGCCTCACCACGACCGGGCCCGCTTTCTCGCCCCCCGTATCGCAAAACACGGCCCAGTCGCCTACGTCCAGCAGCAGCCCCAGCGAGAGGTTCGGCCCAAGCGCCCACGGCAGCCGCCTGAAGTTACCCGTGCCGGCACCCTCTCCGGCGGACGGACATACCTCCCAAGCGTCGTTCGTGCTCCCGGATGACGACGACGCGGCTATCGCGTTAGATGAACTTCCACCAGAGGTCGCAGAAGCCGACATCTCCATCGCTTGTGAGTAACGCGCCCATTCGGTGGAAAGTTACGCGTCAAAATCGATTGCTAATGACCTTCGATTCCCGATCTTCAGCCGATGGGAGCTTCGTCGAGACGAGCTCTCCTCTCGCGGCGCGCGAGCTGAAACGGAGATTCGATCAGCATTTCGGCGTCAGCATGGACCGCCTATCTCCATACGCAATCACCGCGTTCACGAATCAGCATGGGCAGCAGAGGTATCGCGTTGGGTAGGTCACCTGTCTCATTATTTTCCACTTGTCAGTGGCATACCTTAACGTGCAACACTCAGGGCTCGCACCTTGTCCGCCCCTGCGGCCAACGCGGAACACGCGGAAGAACAGCTTCTAGCGCAACGAACCAAATCACAGCCCACCCCCGTCCCGCACTCCCTGCGCGACGCGTACAGCTCGAACCACTCGTCCACGCTGCATCTCCCATCAACCCCCATGCACTCCCAATCAAAGAAGGGCCCGCGGTCGTCACGCCTGAGCGTGCACACCTTCTTCACCGGCTTCAACCGCTCCGGCGCGCACCTCTCGTCCGCCTCCACCTCCGGCGGCGGCGCCTTCACCTCCCGCCCGACCACTAGCAACGGCCTCACCTCGGCCTCGACGCACGCGAGCCCCGCGAAGCCCTTCGCCGCCGACTCCGGCGGCCCGCGCAAGTTGCGCAAGACGCGCTCTATACCCGATATGGCGTCGGCCGGCGTCTCCGCTGGCCCGGAGGAGGCGAGCAGCAGCCGCGTCTACCTCGGCCCCGCCGGAGGGAACGCGACGAGCTCGAACGGAGGCGGCGGCGGCGGCGGCCCCCCGGCGTTCGTCGGCCGCGCGCACTCGCACACCGTTACCGGCGCGGATTTGTCAGCTCTCCCACGGTTGTCGGCGTCGAGCATGGAGCGCGGCGGCAACGCGAGCGCGGCGTCGTCGTCCGGCGCGTCGCAGCAGATCTCGTCGTTGACGAGCTCGTCGTACGCGCTCTCGCACGTCAAAGTGGACGTGTTCGCGGAGGCGATGGGCTGGGTGCGCGAGGACGGCGCGTCGTCGGCGTCCCAGCTGACGTCGCCCGCGGGGAGCCAGTCGACGAGCTTTTCGTCCTTCTCGGCGGCGTTTGGGGAGCGGGGGTCGGCGGGGTCGTCGTCGTCGGCGAATGGAAGGAAGGCGAAGAGGATGACGTATACGCATCCGTTCGGACCCGGCGTGACGTTCGATTCGCCGTCGAGGAAGGACGAGGAGGATGGGGAAGACGGGATACGGAACGCGGACGCGGATGTGAGCGGGCTCCGGCTCGACTTGGACGGCTCGGAAGACGAGCACGATGAGGGAGAGCGTCGGCATACGCCGCTGGGTCTGACGCCTCATCATGGGCCGGGCTTGAGGCTGATGCAGAGCTACGAGTCCGGGTTGACCGCGACGCCTGGAGATGGGCATACCTCCAAGTTGCGCATCGCGGCGCTCAGGAAACATTCGGCGGACGAGACTGTTGCGGAGGCGGATGGGGAGCCCGTGCCGCCATCCCCTGTGGCTGAAGAGATGATGGCAGAGACGGACTCACCTGGACCCGGTGTGCCTCCTGGGCTATACGTCGTCTCCGATGAAGATGAGGAGCCCTCGCCCGCAGCTTCCAGTCCGATTCAGGAGCAGGAATTGGAGCTGGAACTGGAACAGGAGGTGCCTGCGGATCCCGAGACGCCGGTGCTCTTCGACCCGATTGGCGAGCCGCAGGAGACAGTCTCACTCAAGACGCGATCGTACACGTACTACAACACGAAGGTGTTCGAGGTGCTGCAGCGATACCGCGGGCTGCCGGCTCTGGACAAGCTCGATGAGCTCGGGACGCAGACGACGGTGATCAAGATATCGCTCGACGCGGACGATTCGCCGTCGCCGAGGAACGACCCGCGGTTCGTTATCTGGGGCGAGTTCAGCCCTGCTGGGCGAGCGCAAGAAGAGGACGGCGTGTCTGCATCGGATGGCTCGGTGGTGTCGCGACAGCGGAGTTCGAAGCTGAAAGGACATCGCATAGGCGCCGGGCGTGCGGCAGGCGTCGCGCCGTTGGTGGCGGTCGATGCGGCCGAGGAGCCAGCCGAGACGGAGCACAGCACGGTTATCGTCGCTGCGAGCATCGAGCGCTGGATCGCACAGCTCACTAGCGAGCTCAACTATGACGAGCTGCTCATCTTCTTCCTCACGTACCGCGCGTACATCCGCCCGCTCGAGCTCGCGCACCTGTTGATGTGTAGGTTCCACTGGGCGCTGGAACGGCACGAGGGTACGAGGGACGAGATGGTGCGCCGCATCGTGCGGTTGAGGACGTTTGTGGCGATTAGGTATTGGGTGTTGACTTTCTTCGACCATGACTTTGTGCCGAACCGCGAGCTGCGGTTGCTGTTCGCGGAGTGGTTGAACACGTTGCGAAAGGATCCGATTGTGCTGAAGAACCAGGATGCCTTGGTATGTTTTTGAATGTGGATGACGAAAGAGCTCCTGTTAACACTCGCCTTGCTTTAGACTATCGTGCGGAAGCTCGTGAAGGCGGTGCAGAGCTGCAAGGACGCGCACACGGGAGCCTCTCGTGCCGGCCGGAAGTCGACGACAGAGAAGTCGAGAAAGGTGGACGCCACGGAGCTTGTAGGAGAACTTCAGCATGGCGGAGAGATTACGGAAACGCTCGCTTCCCTCGCGAGTCATAAGCACGTAGATGACGAAGGGTCAGACGTGGACCTTGACTTCACCCCGGACGAGAACTCGGCCTTTGAATTTTCGGCGAACGCGGCTGCTCGGGCTACGCCCGGTTCCCCTCCTTTGGGCGCAATATCCGCGGCGTCGTCACATCGGGTATCTACCATGACGACTTCGGTGCTGCACCAACCGATCCAGATGGCCATTCTCCAACATAATCTGAAGACCAGCAGCGCATCGGAGTCTACTCCTTTCGTTCAGACGCCCGCAACTCTGCCCATCCACAACAATCCTATACAGCGAGCGTTTGTGAACACGATCGGGCGGCTCGGGCAGTGGAAGCGGGTGCTGCACTCCAGATCGACGATCCAAGCGCCCATCGGGATCTGCGCCGACGTCTCAGCCTTCGATCTCGAGGTGAACGAGACAGGCGAGTTGCTACATATGCGAGGCGGACTGGAGAGTTACCTCAAGATGATCGAGCAACAGTCGCCGGTCCCCCCGGCGCCGAAGCCGGTACCTCCTCCACCTCCTCCCGCTGCGGCGATACCAACGGATGACGAATCAACGTTGTTCGATGGCGCGCAATCTGCTCCTCGCGCGTCCATGGCCACCGAAGCATCGGTTCCTCCTCCGGATTCTTTGGGAAAGATTTCAGAAGAAGCGCAAAGCAACGCTCATGAGTCTCTCGACGCCGCGAGTCTGGAAATTCACCGCAACAGCATGGCTCCTAGCGTAGCGGAGACGATGTCATCCTTGGGTGAACCGATCCCGCCGTCGTTCGCGCCCTCGTCCTCCCGCCCTACATACCCGCAGCCGCCTGCGTCGTGGGGCCTGGACGTAGTGTCCATCGACGATCTGGAACTATCTGACTTATCCGATACAAGCGACGACGAGCAAGAATCGGACTCTGCGCCTGCCCCTCAGCAGACCTTGCGCCGAGCTGCCCGCAAGCTACCTCTCCGCCGCGACTTCGAGTTTGTCCGCCCCGAAAGCGTATCTTCTTTGGGGATCCGCTCCCATAGCTCCATGCGCAGTTCGATTGCCTCCTCGATTGCTTCGGAGACCGAAGAACCCGTTAAACCTGTCGCGCAACCGAGGCTGACCGTGGCCGGACTGCAGCAGTGGCAAGTGAATGCGATTGTGGACGCCTTGAGCGACGACGAAGAAGGCGACATAGAAGACGCGCTGCGAAATTTAGAGGGCCAGATCAGTCGGGAGGTCCGGGAAGCAAAGGCGTCCAAGGTGGACGGATGGGTCCGCCAGATCCAGGAACGGCTTGCCAACGGGGATTACAGGCCTGACTCGCCCCCGCGCTTCCCCACGTCCGACGGAGAGTCCGATGACGAGTACGGCGAGGAGCAGCCGAGGGCCGACGCATCGGTGTCTCAGAACGGTTCTCCCGTGGACGATAGACGCAGTACTCGCTCCTCGGCTTCTCGTCGTTCGTCCACCCAGTTGTCGGCGGGTGCAGAACTGGCAGCGGACGCCGCGACGCCTATGGCTGACCAGACGACGCACAACATCTCCGTTACGTCCTCCCCTCTATCATCCGATAAGGCCAGACCCGCCATTGAAGACGTCGTTCCCCTGGAGATCCTCGAGAGTCGCATCCCTGCGTCTCAAACCGTGATCCATAGTAGCATACCGTCGTCGCCTCCGCAGATCCCTCCTCCACAGCTTTCCAAATTCACGGCGGGGGCGCCTATACCCAATTTTTATCGCTCGTGGGTATTGGGATACAAGGCTGCAGTTCTCGTTCAGCATCTCGCCATGATCGACCGGGAACTGTTCCTTGCCGTCAAGATCGAGGAACTCATATCGGCTACCGCGGCAACGACTGAAGCGCCTGAGGAAGTCGATATCCTCGACTGGGGGCAATTCCTCAAGGAACGGACGAGGGCCAAATATGAGGGCAGAAAGGGACCGAAGACGAGCGCCCTGGTCGCCGTGCGGGCCCGGTTCGACCTGATGGCGAAGTTCGTCACGTCCGAGATCGTGTTGACACATCCCCATGAACGGTTGCACATATATCGCAAGTTCCTCAGGGTTGCTTGGGTGAGTTACGGCTCTGCTCCGAGCCTGGATGCGATCGTTCTAAACAAATTCCACAGAAATGCTACGAGCTCAATATCCATAGCGCGCTCGTCGCGATCATCGCGGGGCTGCAGAGTGCTCCCGTGCAACGGGCTATGAAGCGCCATCGGAGCCGACTCAACATGGAAGGACGAATGCTGCATGTCCTCGTAGAGCTCACCGATGCCTCGGGTGATTTCGCGCTCCTTAGGAAGAGGATCGAACACCTCATCGACGTCAAGGCTCTGGCGAGTGAATCACAGGAGAGGGGCAGCACGGGAGGCGCCGGAGGAAACGGGAACGCACAAACCACATCTTCTGGTAAAGCTTTGCCCTCCGACGGTATTCCCTTCATAGGTTCGTCTCGTTCACGATTGGTTGTCCAATGACGAGTGGCTAACCCCGACCATCATCGTAGGCATATACTTGTCGAAGCTCCATAGGTACAGGAAACTGCCGGACCACATAGACCCTACGGCGCCTCGCGAACAGGTCCGGATTGACCCTGCGACTGGGGGCTTCGAACCCCTCGCCCATCCTGAGGTCTTCTCGGCGCTGGACCCGCTTCCGCCATACATGCAGCTGGAGCCTCTCGTCAATGTACACAAACAAAGGCTCATCGCAGGGGTCATCAAGGCATCGGTGTCCGGGCAGCACCTCGCCAGTCGGGTGCAGTACCCCATTGACCGGAAGATATATCGCGAGTGCTTGAAGATACGTGGCTTCGACGGGGACACGCTGCAACGGGCTTTCGCCATGTACTCTGAGTGATCGTTGAAATGTGAGGTGTTCTGAGCGGATTGTTCTTTGGACCTGCTATCAGTATAATGATTTCATCCGGAGGGGTAGCGTTTTTCCATCTCACGTAGTGGTATCTTTGTTGACAATAGATTGAACGATGCTTGCAACTTTTTCTATAACGTACGAAATGCTCCGTCTATCTTTGACCTGCTTGTTGATAAAAGTGACGCGTCCACCATGCACGTGCGGCTAAAAGAGCATTACGCGTGCAGGCGCGCGTCTCCTCATGAGCGGGCTGAAAACCAAAGACGGAGCTTTGCAATCGACCACCACATCCACCAAGGCCCTACCTTTTTCATCCGAACATCCATCCAAGTCAAGACGCTCAGTTCCATCACAATCCCTGAACATCAACGAAGGACCAACTGGCTGCCGAATCCCACTCGACCTCGAACCGACAAATCTGAGATAGCCTCAACCGCAAACAACGATGCCAACGCTTCCAGTACATATCAAACATGCAGGGCGCACCTACGATCTTACACTTGATACCGATCAACCGCCAACGGCGTTCAAGCAGACCATCTACGAGCTCACTGGCGTTCCGCAGGAACGCATGAAGGTCATGGTGAAGGGTGGTGTACTCAAGGTCGGTACCCTACACTCACGATCGAACTTCAGTCGTCTTCGTACTCACCTCACAACGATATGAAAGGATGACGCGTCATGGGCCAAGATCGCCCCGAAGGCGAACCAGACGTTCATGGTTATTGGCGCCGCAGGTCCCTTGCCGCAAGCGCCCGAGAAACCTGTTGTGTTCTTAGAGGACATGGACGAAAGCGAGATCGCAAAAGTGGTACGTCTCTCGTGAACCTGTTCGAGGTCAGGTCTCCTCGTCTGACCGACTTCCGCAGCTTGCCCTCCCGCCTGGCCTCCGGAATCTGGGCAACACTTGTTATATGAACGCCACGGTGCAAGCCATGCGCGCCATCCCGGAGCTCCAACAGTCGCTTCTGGCCACAACCGGCGGAACCGGGCCTCTATCCGGCGCTCTTCGCGAACTGTACAGCCAAATGTCGCGCTCGACGGAGGGCGTCATTCCTCTGCGGTTTTTGCAGGTGTTGCGCCAAGTTGTGCCCCAGTTCGGAGAACTCGACAGATCGAAGAGCGGAGCTATGGCGACCGCTTACGCTCAACAGGACGCGGAGGAGTGCTGGACAGCGATCGCGAACTCCCTCAAGGAGGTTCCCGTAAGTCCGCTCATATTCCTTACCTGGGGTGAAGTGCTGAAACATTCATGATAGCTTGCCGGCACGCCGGGAAAGAAGTTCATCGAACAGTACATGATGGGTGTCATGCGCAGAGAGTAGGTTCCTGTCATCATCTAACGTCCGCCAATCGTGCTCAATCATGTTACCCGAAGGTTGAAGTGCGATGAGGCCCCTGAAGAAGAGCCGACCGTGACCACGGAGCAGATCCTCAAACTCGAATGCAACATCAGTATCACCACTAATTTCATGCACAGTGGCATCATGGACGTATGTATCAGTGTGCATTCCGATCCTGCCTGCACTCAAACTGATTTTCTCCCTTCGATAGGCTCTGGATCAAAAGATAGAAAAACGGTCTCCGTCTCTCGGTCGAGAAGCTGTGTACAATCAGAAATCGAGGTTACAACGCTTGCCAACGTACCTGGCGGTCCACATGGTCCGGTTCGCATGGAGGCGGGACATCGGAAAGAAGGCGAAGATCATGGTAAGCCGACCTTCAGATCTCACCGCAAAACGGACAATGACATGGAGAACGATAGCGTAAAGTCAAGTTCCCAGTCGAATACGATGCACTTGACCTTGTCACGGAAGATCTGAAGAAGCAGTTGGAGCCCGTTGCTCGCCGTCTGAAGGAGCTTGAGCGAGACCGAGCGGAGAGGCGCAAGGTTGGTGATCATTACCCGGTGGTCGCAGAGCGGTGTGTAACAGGGACTCTTAGGTCAGGAAACGGACGAAGATCGCCAAGGACTCTCCTCCTGCGGACAAGGGCAAGGGCAAGTCCAACGAAACTGACGTCGAGATGGCTGAGGCCGCACCCGAGGCCGCACCCGAGGCCGAAGCCTCTGCCTCGGACGACAAGGGCAAGGCAGTCGAGGGCGGTGCTCTCGAGGACGAAAGCGTTTACCGTGCCAAGGAGCAGAAGGAGCTCGAGGAGCTCGTGAGCCCGCAGCTCAAGGAAGACGTCGGCTGCAGCGTCACCGGCCTCTACGACCTCATCGCAATCGTCACTCACAAGGGCGCTGCGGCCGATGCCGGTCATTACATGGCATACGTCAAGAAGAGCTGCTTCCATCCCACTGCGATTAGCGGTAAGTTGTGTTGTTAACTCCACCAATATGCACACGTATTGACATCGTTGGTGCTCAAGGTGAGGCATCGTCATCCTCGACAGCTACTGTCCTCGACGATGAAGACGAGGACTGGTACAAGTTCGACGACGATAAGGTGACTCCCTTCCCCAAGGAGAAATTGGCGACACTCGATGGTGGCGGGGAGGACTCTTCGGCGTACGTGCTGCTTTACCGCAGCAAGCCTCTTGTATGATGCGTGAATGTGGGCTGTATCGTCAGCATGTTGTATTTCTCAAGTTGGACGATACAGGTGAGAATGGATGCTATGGCCGCAGAGCCAGACTTGAGTAGCGGTAGCACACGAACAACGAACTCGCTCTCGATCCCAGCTGGTATATAATGCACGAGACAAGGAATCTTGCTCTAGCCGTGAATGAATGACTGCGGCGAAGGTGATGGCTGTGGCCTGAACACTTGGTGAGCTGTCGAACACGGCCTTCGCGATATCGTTGGAAATACAGGCGCCCATGTACGCGTTACTCCGATGGGCTTGTTAGGGAGATATTGTGTATGTGCTGCGAAACATATACAAGGGGGTCCTATTATCCAGTTTATCGCGGTTTTGTACATACGTGTGAGTAAGTATGTCGTCGTGGAGGATGTTTGAGATACCGCTGAACAGCTCATACTGCATACACCTCATATTGCATGAATCGAATCTCTTCTTCCATAGGATTCGGAGGGTAACCACCGCCGTTTGCAGGGAAATTGCATTAGAATGCATAAACGCACAATGCATATGAGCTGTTCAACTGTAAGCCTGCACTTGCCAGCAATCATTGAAACATTCCCGTCTCTTATGCCATTTGCGGGCCCTGCACGCCGTTCTTCCATCCCGTCGTGGGGGGCCAAGCTTGTTCTGGCCAGCCCCGTTCCCCCTGCGCGCCGTTGGCAGATGCTTGGTGAATATTGTTGCGCGTTTCCTACGGGAACGAGCGCCGAGATCACAGTGAAGCTGCATGTACATCGCGACCAAGAGTACCATGATCACTATGGGCTGTATCGGCCGGTTTGCTTGAACCGGTTGAACCGGTTCACCAATCGTGCCCCCACTCGATCTCCGGGAGAGGCCCCAGGCTGTCTGCTGGGCAAGACCACGGTGCGAGCTTGTGGCCATTAACAGAGGTCATTACCAGCTCACCCTCAGTGGGAGCAGGGATCCAACCGTCGTAGCCGGGCTGGGTCTGGACTTCCTCGATGATCTTCAGGACGCGTATGACGAGCCGCGGACCGGGAATGTCTAGCCCTGCCTCAAACGTTGCCGGCGGTTCTAAACGTTCCAGGCGACAATGGACGAGGCCTGGTGTACGAAGAGCACGGAGAGGAGTCTTGTGAGAAGGTTTTTTCGATCTCGTGTGCAGCGGGAGGAAACGTGATCTTCACCTGTGTGAGGGCTGACGTGGGTCCCGGCCCGATGGTCCAGAAAGAGGCTTTCCAGTCTGATGGTGATCAGGTCGTCGTCGGTGAGGGCGTACAGGTTTTTGTACCAATGCGAGAGGTCGAGCGCGAACGGCTGGCCTATCGCGCACAATAGCAGCGACGCGCGCTCGAGCCGCGCCACGCCCCCTTTCTTGTGAACCTCGACGCATTTATCAAAGGTGCTGTTCGAGACGATGTCCTCTTCGACGAGGAACCGCTTCAACGCGGCGTACCTCCGCCACCTCGCGATGTTGTTGAGAACGAAGCGCCATGGGGTGCGGTCGGGAAGCAGCAGGTCCGAGCCCGCGGCGAAGGCGGAGGCGGAAATGGCCTGGTATCGTTTGACGTCGAGGACGCGGAAACGGACTTGGCCGGCCAGAGGCGTGCATGGAGACGGCGGATGCCAGTAGTACAGCGCACCGACGGCGTGCTCGGGAAACGGCAGCCCGAACGCGTAGCTGGCGCTCAATGGCGAGCCTTTGAACGACGAAATAGGCGTAATGCGTCCGGAGAAGTCGACGGAGCGATGGGAGAGGATCGTTCTGGATGGGCCCGAGGCGTGCGCGATGGTTCGACTCTCATTCCGAGGTTCCTGGCGCGAAACGCTGGTGGAAGAGCGGAACTGGAGAGGTGTTGCTGAGTTATGGGCATCCCCCGATTTCTGTGCGTAAGAGTCGTGGATGCTTACGCGAACGGTACACGATAGACGCGGCCGGCAGACTTTCATGCGTGTCGGCGCATATCGCAATGATACGTGTACTGTCGCGGTCGGGCGCATCTTGGTCTCTGCTCGCCAGGCCAGAAACGAAGCCGAGCCCGCGTTGGGCACTGCCGAAGGTGCTGGGGTTGATGTTAGCAAGAGAACAGATCTAGGAGGTATGCGTATAGACTAACGTGTAGGTATAAAGAATGGAGGATGAGATGCAAGATGGTCTTGGCCAAGAGCGTGCCCGTCATCGCGCCTTTACCGCGTCTCTTGCGGCTTGCACTTGCAACCCACATGTCGTCCTCCGACTAACATTCATCTCGACCCTTACCTCCTCTTCCTCGATTCTATAGACCAGCCATGGATCTACTCGGCAAAACGGTCGGATGGACGCCGTTCGGCTCGTCCAAGGACAAAGGCAAAGCGCCGCAATCTCAGCCGCAACCGGAGCGCCCCAGGTTGCGCGTAGAACTGTCGCCGAGGCAGTCGTTCGGGCCTCCGCCCTCTGGCCCGTACGTCTCCGGCGTGGACTACGGTGAATACGACGCGGGGATGTTACCCGACAACTCGCTCGAACGCGTCGCGGAGGACGAGGAAGACGAGTGGAATCTCGAGGAGCGCGGCTTGTATCCCGGTATGCCTCCTCACTTTGCCCCTTTGACGGTCGCATGAATCTCATACGAACCAATCTCCTGTGTAGGCTCGTACCCGCGCTTGGTGTTACTATACACCATCGTCCCGATCGTGTCCGCCTTGCTCTGGATCCTGCTCGCCTTCCTCCCCCGTCTCCTCTGGCCGTCCTCGAAACCGCCGCCATCCTCCCGCGCACCCTATCTCCCCTTTCCCCTCCCCGAACTCCTCCTCTCATCCGCCCTCTGGTCGCTCTGCCACCACCTCCGCAGCCCGCTCTACACCCTCGCCTCCCTCCTCGCACTTCCCCTATACCGCCACCCTCGACTCTCCTCAGCACTCACCGCGCTCTTCTCCGCCGCACTTCACACGCTTTTTGCCAACCTCGTTCGCGTGGCCGCCGTCCCGCTCCTGTTGTCTACGTATACGGGGTCGCAACCGCCGCGCGCGGACTGGACCTCGCCCGCGTTCTGGCACGTATGGTGGCTCGCGCTCGGCTGGGCGCTCGCGGACGCGTGCGCGGGCGTCGCGCAGGGATACGTACATCTCTCACTCTACAAGGATGTACTCGTTCCCTCGGCCACGGCGGAGCACCAGCCGTTCCTCGGCGGCGCGATCACGGACTCGCCCGTCGCTCGTATATCCGGCTCTGGCGAGTCCTTCCGAGACGTAGAAGCGGATGGCCGGCATGATGGAAACGGATACAGCTTGCCTCCGGTGGTGGAAGAGGAGGTCGAGCGCGACCTCGACCAGCTCGTGGCGCTGAAAGCGCGAGAAGACATCGAGGAAGTGTACGGGGTGCCGTTTATCGTGAGTCGCTTCCGTTCCACGCGCAATCGCCCGCGCTGACGTCCGAATCGCAGAGGATCCCCGTGTTCATCTCCTGCCTCCAACGTGTCGACTCGATCCTGCTCTCGCTCGGCCTTACCCTCCTCCTCAGCGCGTCCTACCTCCGCTCCACCGCTTCCGTCCCCCCGCCACGTCCTCAGTCGCCCCTCCTCGTCCAGTCCGACGCTCCTTCGACGACGCTCTCTCACACGCACACCGCCCCGGGCGCGCCGACGTCCAACCGCGCGATCGCGATCACCTTCCCCGTGGTCGTCGCGCTGCACGCGGCCCTCGCGCTCGTGCACTCCCCGCCCGTCCTCGCGCGCGTCGGTGTGCACGTCGCCGCGTACGCGGGCTTGCTCTTCGCGCTCGGCATGCTCTTCGCCGGGCTCGCGATGTGGGGAGCCGTGTCCTGAGCCTCGAGGGCACGGAGAAATCGATCAGGATGCAACGCATATATAGACACTCGCATTCGAACTTTTTGGTCCTGGCAAGTCGTAAGTAACGTCGTAACATAGGCTGCCTCTCTCTGCGTGTACTTAATGTACGAATAAATCGTATCCTTACTGGGGTTACTGTGTGATGCTGTCTATGTCGTATCTTGGGCGATGTTCGTTGCATTTCGTTCAACTGTCGACAGTATGGTCTCGGCAAACTGCGGCATGGTATTGGGTCAAGCAGCGCGCAGCGCGCTCACGAGCACGGGGTATACGATGTCTGTACAAGGTGAATGTTTACGTCCTATCTCTCGGCTTCCGCGTTATTTGCGGCATGCCACAGATCGCTCGCCGCTACCTCATCCGACACAACGACGGGCTCGCCCCCCGGAGCCTCGGCCGAAGCAGGGGGCTGCGGTGCGGGTCGAGCGCCATGGATGTCGCTGTCTTGCAGACCCTGGTGGTGGTCGTCGTAGTCGTCCGCGAGGAAGGAGGCCGCGGAGGGCCCGTCGTCTTCGGACAGCCTGATGTGGCCCTCTTCTTGCGTCTCCTTCCACGTTTCGAGCCTGAACGAACGATGGCGTATGCGTCAGTTTTCGAGCCACTCGATGGGGCCAGCGACATCGTGAAAAGGGAGATAAACGTCGGGGAAACACAGCGAAAAAGTGCAAGAATAATGCGTTGAGAGCGAAATGAATCGAGTCGCGTGATGGGACTACCTACCGATGTTGGATTACCCGCTTCAAGCTGGATGCTCTTCTCCACAGCAAGAACACGGCGCAGAGCGTGCACGTCGTAAACAGGAATATGAACGGCGCGTTCCCGATCGGCTGAGGTTTGGGCGAGCTCTTGGGCTCTGCAAGAGCATATATGCAAGTCAAGGCCACAATCAGGTGTTCGTGTAGCAGACAATCAGCGACATTTCGAGCCAGACTTTGGACGGTATATCCGAGGCTGACCTCCGGGGATTGTAGCGGGTGCCATGGGGCTTGTTGAAAGATGATGGGCGCTTACCCTTCCAGCGCTTATTCCTGACGAATTACGGTCTTACGTAATCTATGTCCTTCGCCCAGAGTCGCTGCCGATAAGTAGTTTCTTGGTAATGTAGATAGTGTCCGAACCGCTGTATTATCCTATCTACTGCGCGGTACAGGAAAATGAGTGTTTCGCTAAGGAGTGTTGTAAGGAACGAGGAAACGGGCGAAAACCCCGAAGGGGGCTTTCCGGCTTCGGATATCTGTGTGAGACCGTGAGCCGCGAATCCCGTTGTGTAGGAGTGCAACGACGCGTCGCGCTCGCTGTCTCCCGTAGAACTAGGAGTTGCACGTACCGATTATCGTGCGGGTGGCATGGCATACCGTGTGAAGCCGGCCTGGAGGTCCGGCTGAGCCTGCATGTATGGCGCTAGCACTTGCGCGTGCTTCCGCAGGTACACCAGGAACGCGTCACTAGCCCACCGACCTTTGGTGCGCACTACGTCAAACGGTACGCCCCGGAGGAGGTACTCCAGGGTGGATCCGATGCGGATCCCATGCCCTTGGAAAGGTTCGAGGTTGGCGCTACGCATGGCCTTGCGTATGGTGCGCAAGAAAGCCGACTTTGTGAGCGGCCTGCGGGTTGACTTGTGCGTGTAGGCGAACAAGTGCTCCGTGCGACTCGGCGCGTTGACTCGGAGATGGTGCGCCAGCGCGGCTATGGGATCCGTGGCGCCGTCCTGCCGGGCCCAGTAGATTTGCTCGCCATTTGGCGCGCTCTTGGTACGTGGGACTTGGAGTGTTTGCTGCGACAGACCGTTCCTGTCCACCTCTTCACCAAGATCGGCGGGCTTCACGTGAATTGCGGGGTCGAAGCGATCGAGGGCTGGGACAGTGAGCTCTCCCAGCCGCGCGCATGCGTAGAAAGTGACTGTTAGGCAAGCGAACACGGCGGCACCAAGGGCGTCTTGGAGGTCGAGATGTTCGCGTATGCTTCGCATAACCTCCACGGTGACGGGCGACCTTTTCTTCCGCCGTGCAAAGGCGGGCGTTAAGCGTTCAGCTGCGCGGAGCATGGCCTGCATCGCCGCGTCGTCCATGTTCCATTCAAGGCCATGGATCAAATGCCAAGCCCGCACTCCATAGAAATAGTTAGCTAGTGTTGACCCGGCGTACAATCCCGCGAGCGAGGCGAGGAAGGCCTGCATTACCAGGGAGGAGACCGGCGCGCGCTGTGCCTCGGAGAAGCGACGTTCATCGCAGAACGCGTGGAACGCTAGCAGGCCGGAACCGTACGTCTCGGCGGTTGATTCTGCCAGGGCGCTGGCCATGACGTCGCGCACGCGTTGTAGGTCGCCATCGTCGAGTCCGGACGGCTCTCCGGCGGCGTTGAACGTTGTTCTTCCTCCGACGGGGTGCCAGAGTACGAGCCGGTGCCTCGCTGGGCATGTCGGGCGCAGCGCCGGCGATGTGTTCGCGTCAGAGGTCGCCCCAGGTGCCGTAATTGGCGGTCGCAAACTGCTCGTTGCGTTGGTCCAGTTCGACCTGGGTGATCGAGTTCCGGAGCCGCGCGCTGCGGTCCTTTGGGGCTGGGTTGGGGGCATGGCCTGCCGCGTACGCGACGTGCTCGCTCTCGGCGAGGGGTTCCTGGCTGTCGATGAGGAAGGCCTCGAGGCCTGCGGGGAGGGGAATGGGAGCGAGCGAGCGGCTTGTCGGCGGATAAGCACCTCTTGATGGCTGGTACGCCGGGTTGGTCGCACTCGTGACGTATCGTGTATGAAAGTGTCGGCCACTGCGCTTGGATTCTTTGTGGACTCGTTTGAAAACTTCGTTGACGCGGCGGTTCCTGCTCCTCCCGTTCCACCAGCCCTCGACGACGCCTGTATTGTCCCCGTGGACCTTGACGTTGCGGCTAGGGGGGTTGCAAGAATTGACGGCGCGTACCAGGAGTTCGAAGCCAATGGCTTCTGCCCAGGCGATGTCGCGCCCGTCACGCTGCCAGCCCGGGAGGAGCCTCCAGGCCCGCCACCAGCCGCCGATAACCACGGCGATGCCTGTGCTGGAGCTGGCATCGGAGAAGGCCTGTACGTCGAAGATGTCGACGGGCCCTGGAATTGCGCGGACAAGGCGGGGCTGTTTGAGGGTCTCTGCCCACCAGCCGAGGGCAGCAGGAGTTCCGGAGGGAGCGGTACGCGGCTTGAAAGGACTGTCACCGAAGATGGCCAGTGCGGCCTCCAATTTGGTAAGGTACGCTCGTCCCTCTGGCACGACGAGCGAGGCGTGTAGGAGCTTTCCATACAGCTTCTGAACTTCGTCGAGAGTATGTGCCCGGGTCGCGTTCCACGTCTGTATTGCTTCCAAGTATTTGGCCTTCTTCTTTTCGCCCAGGGCCACGGTCTGTTCGCGTAGGTCCCACTCCAGCCCTGTAAACGGAACGGCATAGCTGAAACCGACATCCTTGTCGGCTCCCCAAGGCCATCCCAGTTCGCGAGAGAGGTCGTCGATGTCCTCCATGGCGTAGCAGAAAAGTTGGTCGTCGGCTGAGCGTGGTGAGCGATGCGCGAGGTCGCGCATGGGGAACTCCATGTCCTCGTCGAATTCTTCACATCGGCCGTCCGGGAGCTCGTTTCCTCCGTACCAGATTCGGCTGCGATCCTGGTGCATGCCTCCGGAACGCTGGATCGAGTCCCGCCATGTGGCGCGCTGCTCGTTATATTCGACCAGGTGCGTGCGCGGAATGCGGAAGAAGACGAAGTCGTCCACCCACTTGGATACTGGCCCCATGCCGTTCACCCGTGTGACGTCCGCATAAGCATCGGCTGCAGCGCCGAAGATCCCGCACCCGGATCGCAGACCGAAACAATTGCACGTGTCCACCGCGAACACGTCTTCTCCGGGTAGCCGCACGACGAGCCCTGGCCACTGCTTGGTCCGGATAGGGATTGTGCGGTATGCTTCCTCCACGTCATGGCAGGCGGCTTGCGAGCCGGGAGGAAGCCTGGCGATAGTGAGGGCCACGACCGTGAACGTGCCCCAGGAGCAGGGATACATTCGGGCGTCGATCGCGGAGTTGATGGACGCTGCGCGGTCACGTGGTAGGTGCGGGAAGGAAAGGTTCTGAATGAGTCGGAATTTGGACGGGTTGTGCGGCTTGGGAATGATCGATAGGGGCGACGTCTGGAAAGGGCCGAGAACACGCTCAATGGCTGCCTTTGAGTACGGGCCAAGGTAACGTCCCTTCTTGAATTCTTTCGAGGTGTTCGCGTCGAACTGGGACCTGTGGAGTTGAACGGAGCCATGGTTGGGGGGTGTCACGTGTCGGATCTTGGGCCATAACCGGGCCAAGTACGATAGCTCCGGTCGTTCCGGGTTGTCCGCCATCGGAGTAGCAGCTCCGGTACCGGACCTACATTATCACATGAATAGTCCTCTGGCGACTCAACGTCCCGGTAGTTCTCGAGTCATAACGGATTCAACTCCGACGTTCACGATCGATATGCCTTTAACGGTTTGATATTCCCTTCGGACTTATTCTACCTCCGATTATCAGCTTCGTAACCATATGCTCCGTCCTTA